TACGGAATCTTTCTCTTAAGGTTGCGTTCTTAATAGCCATCACGTCAGCCAGGCGTATCTCTGAGCTAGCTGCTCTATCAGTCAGGGATGACCTTTGTATCTTTCACAGCGACTGGGTGGTCCTCCACCTGGACCCCACATTTGTGCCCAAATTAAATTCGCTCTTCCATAGGGCACAGGAAGTCATCTTATCAAATTTTTGCCCCAATCCTTCCCATGACTTGGAGCGGCAGTGACACACACTGGACGTCCTCATGGCGCTGCGGCATTATATGAAATGTACACTGCCTTTTCGTAGGTCTGAGGTCCTATTTGTTTCTTTCTGTCTGACTTCTCTGGGACAGAAAGTTTCCACTGGCACTATTGGCAGGTGGATCAGGGCCTGTATCGCGGAGCGTACCAGTCCTCTTCACTACCGGTTCCAAGTCATCTTACTGCCCATTCCACTCGCAATGCTGCAACCTCTGCGGCATGGGCCACTCAGGTGTCCATTGAGGAGATTTGCAGACTGCGACATGGTCCTCGCCCTCCCCATTTGTATGCCATTACAGGATTGACCGTTTTGCTTCGGTGGATGCCTCCTTTGGTCGGAGGGTCCTCCAGCAAGTGGTCTCCGAGGACTCTATTCCGGCCTTATCTGTTTCCCACCCATCGGGACAGTGAGGCTTTGGTATGTCCCATTGGTAGGATTCTCCATCTCCTATACTGGAGAAGGGGCGTTCTCTTACCTGAACGCCTTTTCTCAGTATGAAGATGGAGAATCCACACCCACCCTTTAGGTCAGTTAGGCCTTATTTAAGGGTTTGAGAGCCAACCCTCGTCCACCTTCAGCCACTTCGCCCTCATTAAGACTGGATCTCCTAGCAAAAGGGGAGGTGTCAAATTTGGCTACTTAGTCTCAAGAGCAGGCAGACAGAGAAAACCCATTGGTGGATTCTCCATCTCCGTACTGAGAAAAGGCGTTCAGGTAAGACAATGCCCCTTCTATAGCAATTGGAAAAAGCCCATGGACTGGTCTTATTATTGATAAATTATGGTTAATTTAAATGTGGCTTTTTGAATAAGCTATATTTGATGTTAAACTCTCTTAATATTTATTCATACCATTCTGAAAAACAAGTTACATTTGTTGCTTTTTTGCTTCTCTTAAAAAGTACTTTATTATTTCCAACAATTATAAACTAGTCTCACATATTAATATGCTATTTTCCCATTGATCTTTTATACTGACAAAAATTATACATCAGACATACTAATAATATAATTATAGTAATATAAGATACTGAAATATAATAAACTTTTAATAAACAATGTTTTTCTCAGGACATTGCATAGATTTTTTATGGTAACTTTTTATTTGGCAGTTGTATCCTGATTCCAAAACTATCTTTTTTAAAAAAGGATATGATTAAAAAGGAAATGACTATTAAACCTTCTCATAGTGCTTATTAATATGATTGTACAATAATTAGCTGTGAAAATGTTGACTTTGTAAAGTTGACTGCTTAATTGTAAAAAAATATTCTACATTATTTTTAATATAATCTCTACACTTTACATACAAAATAATATTGTGATTTACATTATGAGAAATCCGTATTAGGTGAAAAAATCTTCAGTCATATTTTAAAAACAACTTATTTTGATTTTTCAGAAATCAGAATAGAATATTAAAATGTACTCTTAATGATTTTGTATAAAGCGAAATGAAAATATATCTGCAACATTTGACCAATCTTGTATTCTAAACCTGTATATCTGTACATATGTTACTTTATAATGCCAGCATAATACAAAAAAGCATAATGAATATTGGGTTTGTAACCTCTTTCATAGCAAGATGATTAAAAACATAATGTGTCTGCAACATTAATGCTTTCTTAACACAGTTTTAACTAAAGAATTTTATATATACATAAAAAGAACAAATACGTAGTATGGATTACTGGAGTTAAGTCAGTCCCAGAATTCCAAACACTTCAATGAGGATTAACATCATCTTTGAAGAGTGTTACATTCTGTCTCCACCACTTGCAGAAAGGGTACATAACCTCTCCAGTCTGGACCAGCGTAGGAAAATTTGGACAAAGTAAATAGGTAAGTAACTTAAGTGAAGCAAACATGAGTAAAATTGGTGCTTGGTTTAACTCAACAATTTTTTGATACTATATTTGACATTGATAGAATAGTATAAACTGTTAAATAATGCAGTTTATATTGTAAGCATTGCATATTCAAAATTATAATGTTCAAATTTTCAAAGTCAACTGTAGTTAAGAGAATAAGGATGTATGCTAAATTGTTGACAAAATAATGTGACTATATTTATAGAAATATACTGTCAGAATTTTCTTTAAAAATGATCAGAATTTCCTATAAGAAAAAGATGGAAATAATTTTATTCCTATAGCTTTTACTGAATATTTTGTTTTTAAAATTTCACCTAGCAAATTCAGATTACTCTTCATTGTCCATATTTTTATCTTACTTTTAAAGTTATGCTCATACGTAACGCTTTTATAAATGTTACACATTACATAATATTGTGCTGTGGTTTATTAGATATGAAATTTATGTTTGAGTAGAAAAAAACTTTGGAAAATACAAGGTTCAAGAATCAAATTAGAAATTAAAACATTTAATAACTTATTTAACCTAACTAATCTAGCCTAATTATATATAATCAGTTCTTCAACTGTAAAAGTAGCAAAAAAGCAGAAAGAATATCTCAAAGATGCGGAATTCTTAATATTGCATTTTTATAAAATAGATGTTATGTTAATGTTTATTTACTTTCTCTTGATTGATTAGATGTTTACACAGTCTTTTCAGTTTAGTAACAGCAAAATTATTGCAATGTAGCACTTACAGTAAGCCATGTACTATTTATATTAGAATGTAACTGCCAAATCAGTTTAAGTGTATTGTATTGTCTGATGATAGAATGAAAGGCTCATTCTATTATTTTAATAGAGTATTTTATTTAGGCTTATATTGAAATTATTATTTCAACCTCACTGTTATCTTACGATGTACTGTAGTTATTTGTTAGGAAAAAAACTTTTTATTGAGCAATACAGTTGACTTACGACCACAATTGGGCACAAAATTTTCATTGCTAAGCAAGGCAATTAATTGATTTCAAACAGTTATTAGACAAATGGTTGTAAGTAAAGGAGTGCATATTATGCATATCAATGCCCATGTATTGGAAAAGATTTTAATAATTTTAAAAGCCCTGCTTTAGATCTAAAAACTCACTGCTGTCTTTAAATATTGGCTATGTAATACGACTAAAAATGCTGCCACTTTCTTTTTTCTGAGTAGTTCATTGCTAACAAATATGAAATCTTAAAGACAAAGATTAAAACAATCTTATTTTTTAAAAGATTATTATTGTGGCAAGAAAATAATTCCCATTTGCTTGTGCAAAATATAAGATGTAACTAAAAGTTTAAGTGAAGATTTTTAAATTTATCATACCATAAATTGATCAATAATGTAGTTTTGATTATATCAACTCAGAAATAAACCCTAATTGTGTAAGTGAGATTTATTTCCAGGAAATGAATGTATGCCTCCAGTCCAAACATTAAATATAACTTAATTAAATATATAGATATAAATATACCAAAAACGGGGCTCAATGGCTCAGTGGTTAAAGACTCTGAGCTCATCAGATGGAAAGTTGACACCTGAGTTCGATACCTGAGTACTGCGTGATGGGGTGAGCCTCCGTTACTTGCCTCAGCTCCTGCCCACCTAGCAGTTCAAGAACATGCAAATGCAAATAGATAAATAGGTACCACTTCAGTGGGAAGATAATAGCGTTCCGTGTCCGTTGGCATATAGTCATGCCGACCACATGACCATGGAAATGTCTTCAGACAGTGCTGGCTTCCTCGGTTAAGAAACAGAAATGAGCACCACCCCCTAGAGTCAGACACTACTGGACAGAGGAAACCTTTACTTTACCTTTATATCAATATCAGTGGCTTGGGTTTTCCTAAGGAAAAGGTTTTGAATCCTACTCATTTCATGTAATTGTAAGGTTTTAAACGATAAATCCATTCTTATATAATTGTTAAATACCTGTAGCTACTTGGAGTCGAATATTTTTTTTGTTGTTGTATATTATAACAAGATTTGCAATCAGTTTCTTGTCTTGGCTTTCAGTGCTTTTTTCCTATTAAAATATGTAACTTAGTGTCTTGCTGTCAAATATTAATTGAATTATGTAAGAATAGTATACACTGTGGATGTATTAGAAAAATTATAGGAATTAATCAGGTTACAGAATGGTGCCACAAATTCTTCATTTTTTCTCATTGAAACATTTAGAGTTATCTAGATTTTAGCCAGTAGCTTATGTGAAGAATCACAAAAGTTCTACATTTAATTCACTACATTAACATATATTAAAATATTTATATTCATTCTTTTGAGAGGCACATGCAAGATGGATGCACCTAATCTTAGTGAAACCTGTACACCTGCAGAAGTGTGTAATTTTTTATGTTGAGGAATGGATGCAGTGCAATTAACCCATTGAGATTTTACATTTAATCCAGTAGTTGGAAATTACTTTTGCATAGGAGGAAATGCTGTTTTTGTTCCCAATTGCTGAATGGAAAAGTTCAATCATATATGCATAGTGCATTTGCAGAAGTCACTTGTAGCTATTGGAATTGTTGCATAGATCTTGACATGAAATAGCGTGACTTGCTTTGCTTTTAGAAAGGATTGTTTCACCTTTCAAAGAGTGTTTCATGTGAAATTTCATCAAAACAAGGCACTACCACAAGGCATAACCCTAATACAGAAGATTTAAAAAGCCTGGGATAAAAATTGCATTTATGTAGTAGTAGCCTGCAGTATAATTCCTATGTTTTTGAGTGATAAGATTTAGAATAAGTATTTGGAGGGAATTATGTTGACCATTATGATTCCCCAATTTTCTTTTGAAATTGATATTCATGCTGCATAAATTTCTTTTGCAGAGTACAGTTTTTGTCGAAATCCAATAAATAACATTTCTCCTGTTAGTGCTACGCTTTCTTCTGGAACAACCAGTGTTTTACCATATACATCAAGACCATATTCTTATCCAAGCTATCCCTTGTCATCAACAATTCCGCTTGCTAATAGCAACCATATTGGACAGCGTTTGTACATCTCCAGTCAGGCCTCTTTCTTTTGAGGACAAAAAAGCTGGATGAAAAAAAAATACACTTTTTTTTAAAAAAACCTATAATGTAGTTTTAGTTTTAATTTGGTTTGTACAATTGCTTTTGCTTAGTTATTTCATATTGCTTATAAATTATAGATAAGAAAACCCATTTAAATGTTTTTTAAAAAAATAATTTCTCATTAAATAGTAGCTTTAAAATATTTTAAATGCATGCAATTGTTGGTTGTGATCTTGTTATCAAGGATCCATTCTTTGGAGATGAAAAGGAGTATTTGGTGAAAAGCAAAGTATTATGTAAGGAAATGATGCACAGTATTTTTAAAAAAAAAAAAAAACCAGAAACCTTAATTCCAAACATATAAATATTTGGGGTCCTTTAAAATTACATTGTATATTTTAGTTGCATGATATTTGTTTTATTAATCCACTGTTTACATTGTTACATTTTATTTGTTAAAAATATTGTTCTATTTGCATGTTGTAATGTTTTTAATGTTCATATCATGTGTTTAATTCCCTATTTAAATACAGTCATTTTGACATTAAAATCTTGCTGTATGAAAATAGTTTGGATTCCTTTTTAATATTTAAAGTAAATATTGATAAATTTCAAAGTTTATTTTTTCTCCTATAACAAGTATGAGCAAACAATAGACAAATACAGAAAATAGTATGAAATTTTCTCTAGTTTGCAGACCTAACGCTATTTGAACCTCACCACAAGATCAGGATTTTAGATGTTTCTTTAGAGACAAAGTTGTGTGTCTGTATTATGTAGTTGATTCTCTAGTTCAGTGGTGGTGAACCTATGGTACGCGTGCCAGAGGCGGCACTTGGAGCCCTCTCTGTGGGCATACGTGCCGTTGCCCCAGCCTTGCCTCCCCCCGCGACCCCCTCAGCAGCCCCCCTGGAGGAGAGTCTCCCCGAGCATGGCCCACACAGAACAGCGCAGCCAAGGACATGGCAGCCAGGCAGCGTAGACAAGACTCTGCCCTCATGCCTCATCCCGCACAGTTGATGCTGTGGGGTGCGGGCAGAGGGCGTGGCCACCATGGCGCTGCTGAGCTGCCTGGGCGATCTGCGGTGGGCCCTGGAGGCAGTGAGTAGCCCTGCGGGCCGGTGGGGTGGGGGATGGGTAGAGCGGGGTGGGGCCAGTTTTTGGGCACTCGGTCTCTAAAAGGTTCACCATCACTGCTCTAGTTGGTGAAAAGAATGGCAAAGCTCTTCTAGCAGAGGTAGAACTATAATAAAATTGTAGACTTATAATAAAATTAATTTTGCAAGCTATAGTATATAATGCTTCATTTATACTGCAGAGGAAGTTTTCCCTATTTCATGAGACCTAATTCATACAGGAATCAGGCAAAAAAGATGAGCAATATTCTTTCATAAGAGAACTCACCAAATTTTTGAGAATTTTTTCATAAATAATTTCATTTATGAATTTAAAATACACTGTTGTATGCCAACAGAAGAAGCAGAGGAAACATTTTTGTTGGAAAAGTTCCACATATTGTATTAGAGGCTATATTACATCTCTAACGTGGGTACCCGTTGACTCCAAATCAGGACCTAATAATTGCCTCATTATTTAAATCTGATTACATTTGTATTCAGCTTTTCTTTCATTTTATCTAAGAGAAAGTGATTGTTCCATGACCTTCAAATAATCTAAATACCATAAAAGTAACTGGGAGTGTTGTAAACATTGTTTTTTATATATTAACATATTTTTCTCTCTTCACATATGGTAAGTTTTAAAGGTATCTGCATAATCACGACTCATTTCCCAAAGAAACATTTAAACTATAACAATACCCAACATTTTTAGATTCATTTAAATGGTATTTAAATGAACTATCTAGATAAGAATTTAGATACAAATTGTTTTAAATGGTCTGAAAATTTCTTGAAAGTGGAATAAAGAATGAGGTCATTAAGGTCTGTTTTAGTCAGGCTTACAGTCAGCCAGATGTTTAGATTGGGTTGGGGATTTTTGTTCATCTATCAAGTCCTTCCTAAGGACTACAATTTTCAGCATTTTTTTTCCTGGTCTTCAGTATTTACTTCTGGTTTCTGGCAAAAATATCCACTGGGCAAAAATTAAAGTTTGCTTAATGATTGCATTATTCAATTGACTGCAATAAAAGTTATAGAATCTCCTGCAATTATGTTGTGACCCACTTAATAATCACCACAACTTACAACCATAATTTCTAACTCAATTAGAATCGTACATTGGGGACCAACTTGCTTCAGTACAAGTTCTTCACTATCCTTCAGATATTCTTCCAATGACCTTCAACTGTCTGGTGTACCTATGCTCCTTGGCAAACAGTCTGTCAACATTGTGTGGAAGAGGGACATGATTCATTGCCATTATTTTTCTTGTCTTCCCACCCAAAGCTACTTCAGCTTGAGTCCAGTCCAATATTCCAGCTGCATATGTATGACTGAAATTGCCCAAGTGTTAATTGCCTTAATGGTATTTCCATCTCTGAGTTTGGACTTTTAAGATCTTTTTCACTCTTCTGATGTATTCATTTCTAACCTTTTTCTTGACTTTAGTGTACTTAATACCATCATCCAAAAGAATGCTCAGATATTTGTAATTATTGTCTCAGCCATCCTCTAGACATTTCCATAGAGCATCTTGATTCCTTCAGTTTTCACTATTTTCCCTTATTGATTGGGTGGTTCATTTGTCCAGTCCAAACTCCACTGCAATATCTTTGCTGTAATGTTGAGCTGGATTCCATTTCAAATAGTGTTTTTTCCATATAGCTTCAGAAGATTGTCCATGTAAAGGAGGTCAGATAGTCTGGCTTATAATTTTGATGTTTGATAGCCATGGACTAACTTGTTCAGTATTGTTGACAAGAATCAATGCAATGACTCACTATCACCACAGTAGTGATGGAGTCACTAAAACTCAGAAGCTGTGCAAAGATCAATGGCACAATAGAAGACACAGTGCTGGTCACTAGTGACAAATGGAAATGCTTATCAAGAGCACTCTTTCAAGGAGATACACCACAATAGTGATAGTATGTCTCCTTGAAAGAGTTCTCTTTGGTAAGCTCTCCCATTTGTCACTAGTGATCAGCAGCTGTGTCTTCTATTGTGCCATTGATCTTTGCAGAAAGCTGAGTTTTAGTGACTCCCATTTTTGGCACTTTGTTATTCAGTCATATAGCAAGGAGCAGAATGCCTTCTTGTAATCAATCCAACTACATTCAAGTTGATCTTCCTTTTCTTGCAGTTTTCCAAAATCATCTTGTCAATTAGAAGTTGATCTTTTGTCCTTCTGCTATTCGAGCAGTTTCCTTTCCGCTGAGATGTAAAGAGCTTGTTTTCAACTAGATGCTGTTTGATTTCATCATCTATACTCCAGCTAGCAATTTGAAAGTTGTTGATAATCAATTAATTGACCTGAGGTTGCCTGGTGCTGCCCCTTTGGTCTTTATCAGGTAACTTTGGCCGGATGTTAACCCACCTTCAATTTTATCTCCTTGCAGTAAACAACTACTACTTGCTAAACTACTTTGGAATGAGTGGATACAGACCACCTTAATGTTCCAACCAAGACCAATTCTTGATTTTCCTCGCCCTCACCATTTCTGCTGTTATTGCAAGTTCTTTTAGCTTCTTTTAACCCACTCTGCCTCCTTTATGCAAGCTGTATTCTTTTGTTCAGTTTTGGTGATGCACTATTACTTTTTTCCTGTTTGCTGATTTTGCATTTAAGATATGCAGCTGTGCTGTCAGAATCCAATTATATTTCATCTCTAGTTATCAACTATAGAAAACCCCATTTCTGCCTTCTCTGGATTCTGTCATATGATGAAGGGAAGGGGGTGAACAAGGGGGCTTTATGGCCCTCACTTCCTTCAGTACACTTCAAAGGGACTGGATGTGGATATCACCAAAAGGACTAACCATACCAATGGGGCTATTACCTTTCATGTACTCCTCTCTGAAGTCTCCTTCCAGCCGGCAGTAAGGAAAAGGGGGTGGGAGTGTAATGCCTGAGACTGTCGCTGGAAGAAGGGGGTGATTGGGTGGGGCTACTGGGGAACCCCTTAAAACCTTGAATGGGAGAGCTTGGACCCCAAGTCCTGTCTAGAATGCCTGCAACCATTTTCTCTTAATAAAGGATGCCTGTTGGAAGAATTATTCCAAGAGTTCTGTCTTCTTAAGATGCAAAGTGGGGTGGATCCTTACATTAGACAGGACTTGCAAAATTAATCCACCTGGAAGGGAGACCCTTGCCGGGGGATTTTTGCAAAAAATTACCATGTCAGACAATGGAGCAAGAAAGGGGGAAAACTCCCCGGAAAGAGAGCCGCTGCCCCAACTGGAACCCTGCCGGATGTCGGGATCCGAGAGGTCAGATTCCTCAGGAGAAGAAGTGGTGGAGACACGGGACCAAAAGCCTCGCTGGTCAATGGACGTTGGAAAGAAAGGGGAGTGGGAAAAGAAATCAAGAAAGGCGACCCTGAGACGGGGGGGCCAAGCAACCAGAATGGAAGCAGGAGATGGAGAAATCCCTGCACGCAAGTGAAGAGGGAGAAAGCTGGGCACCGTACTTGGACTGCATCCTAGAGAAAGCTATTGACCTGATGAAGAGAACTCTCAGCTCCCTAGGAGAGGAGAATCCTGAGCCCTATGGCCGCCCCAGTTTCTGGAGCCACAAAGGGAGAGACACCGAGGGGGAAGTGGAACCTGCAGCCCAGGGGACATCTGCTGATCCAATAGTCCCCACCCCCTGCCGAACCACAGATGGCAATCTGGACGGAAGACACTATCACCAACAACGGAGGCACCGATCCATTCCAAGATGTCCGCCATTGGAGGTGAAATTCAAAGGGGAGCCAACACGCTTGGGGTTTTTCCTAACCCAAGTCCTCAGCTACATGGAGGAATACAGGCGGAACATCCCCAGCGACAAAGCCCGCATCCGGATCGTGCAATCTGCCCTGGACGGACCTGCTGCAGATTGGGTGGTGAACTTGCACGACTCCAATGCCCCAGAGCTCAACGACTTCAACCGTTTCATGTCCTCTCTGAGAAGGCAATTTGAAGACCCCCTGGCTGATCGCAAAGCCCATGAAAGGATAAAAACCATGAGGCAAGGCAAACACCCGGTGGATGAATATATACAAGAACTCCGGGCCATTGCCAGCAAACTGAACTGGCCAGAGGACATCCTCCTTAGCCATTTCAAAGACGGACTAAATTATGACTTATATGACGCTTGCCTGCCCGAAGGGGACCCACACCAACCTGAGGAATGGTACGTCTTGGCAGAGGAAGCAGAGATCGACATATTGAA